GCCGTAGAGGTTGTCAAACTTGCTCTGCAAGGAGAGGGTCCGAGGGGATGAGAGGGGAGGCAAGGCAGGGTCCGGGGCCAGGGCCCCTTGAGCTCCAAGTCTTCCCAGGGCCCAGCCAGGTGCCTTCCACCAACGCTCGACATCTCACCCTCCTCCGTCCAAGCCTTCTCCTTAGCCTTTCTCTGCTGGCCCAACAGCCTTACGCTGCAGCCAGCCTGGGTGTTCACTGTAGTTCTCCGTCTGACAGCTTTCCCACTCCCAGAGCTTCGGGTCTCCACACTGCGGCCTCTGGAGGGCACTTCTTCCAGGGCTTACTCCTGGGCTGTGCCGGGAGCCATGCCAAGAGTGGAGCTATCGCCACCCGAGGGCTCACCTTGGTGACAGAGTCGTTGACGTTGATGGCAGGCACCTTCAGGATCCCATTGGCCTTCATCTTGTACAGGTTGTGGACTCCGGTCGTGGTCTCCTCAGAGATCCCCCGAATGCCTGAATGGGGGTGGACAGGCGGGGCCTCAGGCTCAGTCCTCATCCTCACACACCGGGAGGACCCTGGGAGGCGAGCCCAAGAGCTTCCCAGAGCCTACACCCAAGCTCACCCCAATTCCTCATGAGAGCCCCTCTTATTTCTGGGTTCTCATCTCTGGCACCAGTCTACCCAGTCACTAGGCCTGCCTGAAAGTCACTTGTGATACCCAAGAGCAATCAATCAGCAGCCTTCCTGCCAGCGCCCACTCTGCCCCTCCTGCCATAGTCCCTCCCCTGCCTCCATCATCTCTCTGCTGGTCTACCTGCAACAAGCCCCTCTCCAAGAGCTTCCCACTCAAACCATCTTAAGTGTACAATCCACTGCGTTCACCACGTTGCACAACTACCACCCCACTTCCAATGTCCTCCGTCTCCTAGAGTGGAAACTCGGTACGCACACTCCTCACTTGGCCAACTGTCTCCCGAGATATGTCACTTCCATGACAAGGAAAATCTACTTAAACGGCATGTGAAGCCAGGAAGGGACCAACATGTTCTGAGGGAGTCTTTCCCTAAGTCCCAAGTCCTTTGATCTCTCCCATCCCACCCCTGGCCCCCCAGTCTTGGAGGTGAATAAAACTCTAAGAGAAAGGGGAAGAAAACACTGGAGTGGTTGCTGGGGCCTCAGGCCATGAACCTACAGGCGTGCTCCACGACTGCCCCAGCCCGGCAGCCTCGTGGCAGAGCCGCAGCTCTGGGCAGCGAGCCCGACAGAGGTGGCAAAGGGACATGCACTCGGAGATCTGCTGCTTACACATCTGGGTGCACTGGAACCAGCCGTCCGGGCGGGGTGGGGGCACTGTTTCTGTGGAGAGGAAGTCCTCCAGGTGGACGAGGGTGAGGGCCCCTCCTGGCTGCAAATCCTGACCCAACCACCGCTGCGACAGATCAGGTGAGGAGCGCCGCAGAGGCAGGGAGCCACAAGGCCACGTCTGAAACAGCTCCTGGGACCCGAGGGTCCTTGGGTCACTAGTTTTACATAACGCTGATTTCCACAGAAGCAACCTGGTCTTTAAAACCTTAGCATGTCAGATAACAAGGAGTGGGTAGATTCCCCAAGTAATAGCCCCCTACTTCTACCCCAGCTTCTGGGGAGCCATTAATAAACTTGCGGTGCATTTGCCCATTAAGATAGTTCATGTAAGTGGGAGTATACGCTATCTGTCCTTTTGTGTCTGACTTCCTTGACAGTGTTCGTAAGATTAAGCCACGGGGTAGCAGGACTCCATTTCTCTCAGACTGAATCACAGTCCATTGTATGACCTGCCGCAGGTGGTCTGGCTGTTCATCTATTTGGGTTGTTTCTACCTTTGGCTCATGCCCAGTCTGGGAACAGAACTGCTGGGTCAGATGGTAAGTCTGGGTTTAGCTTTTTGAGGTGCTACCAGACCATTTTCACAGTGGCCGCACCAATTTCCGTTCCTACCAGCAACAGACCAGGATTCCAATTTTCCCACCAACTCTTTTTCCTGACAATAGACATACCGGTGGGTATGAAGTAGTGTATCATTGTGGTTTTCATTTGCATTCCCCTAATGACTTTTTGGAAGCTCCATCTATTCAAATACCTTACCCTCTTTTCAATGGGTTATCTTGTTATTAACCAGCAGCCAACTTGAATTAGGGTCACTGTGTTGTGCAACCACCCCAGTCAACTGAAACATGTCTCTTTTCAGAGAAATCTTCAAAAGGCTTCCAATGGCTTGCCCTTGTTCTCAAGACCAAGCCAGTCTCTGGCTTCCTTCTGTTTCCTGCAGAGCCAAACCTTTCCTGCCTCAGGGCCTTTGCACTCACTGCCCCTCTCCCTGCCTCTTGGCTTCCTCCTCTCCAGCTCTTCTGGGCTCAGCCGTTGGGTGGCCATCTCAGCCAGGCCTCCCCCACCTACCCGGCTGTCCCAGCCCCACACCAGGCCAGGCCCCAGCATACTTGCAGGCGCCCACCATCCTCCAAGGAATCTGCTGCTTATGGCACTGGGAGTCCTGCCAGACTTGCTGCCTGCATGTGGGCGAGCAGACCTACTCCGAGCTGCCAGCCCTCAGCCCACCCTGCTCACCCGACAAGAGCTGTGGGTACTTGGTGTGAATCAGGTTGGTGAGGTCGCCGCCGTCATCCAGGATCATGTTAAGGGGCCCATCCTTGAAGTACAGCGTTTGCTTGATGCACCATAGGTACTCCTCGTCTGTTTCGCCCTTCCAGGCATACACTAAAGGACAGGAGGCCCCATCAGACCTGGCCCTCCCCACCGGCTCAGACTCTAGGGAGCCACCTTGCAGTCAATACTCTCTCCTCCCTGATTCTATCCCCAACACCTGCAGCCCCCTCTGAAGGATCCAGCTGTGCTAAGGACCCAGAATGGAGCCAGGGAAATCCAAACTCAAATGCTGGGTCTGTTGTTCTTCAGTTGTGTGACCCTGGGTCAATCGCCTCACTTCTCTGAGCCTCCGCTTTCCTTGTGTGACTATCTGGAATTAAGTTTTCATCCTCATTCTGCCTGGACCCTGGACCAGAGCATCAATCCACAGCGGGCAGGGCTTCCATCCACCATGCCAGCTGCTCCTGGTTGAGGGCAGCCACAAGGCGAGGGGTCATACCCAGCATCAGTGTGACCCTGAATCTGAGGCAAGACCCAGGGTCTACTCTGCTCAGACAGGACCCCAGGGCCAGCGGCCTTTGTGGTGAGTGGTCCCAAGCAAAATCTCACCAAAAACGTACTACTGGTAGCCATTATGTCTGAAAGACATTGTGTCAGCCAGTACTCTCTTAAAGCTGGCATCATGGCCCCTTCTGCTCTCTCCTCCCAGGACCCCCAGTAAGGCAGGCACTGCCACCATTGTTGCAGATGCCCTGAGAGGGGCTCAGACATGCATGAGTCACTCAGCATGGCAATCCAGAGCCGGTACAGGGCTCGTGACCTCCACACTAAGCTCCTCCCACCACAAGATATGACTGGGACACAGGTGTGAGGCTCCCACAAGCCTCCTGTGATCAAAGGAGGCCAGCCGAGCAGGGCCAGCTGCCCTACCTCCCAACTGGGGCCGACCATGGTTTCGAAAACACAGCCTCTCCCAGGAGAGCAGGGAAGAGTGGGGGAGGTGTCTGTCCCGCTCAGGCCAATCTTCCCTGGCATCCTCCCTCCTCCACCTGTACCAGGTAAAAGGGTATCTCAACTGTCTTATCCAATTACTGTCTACTCGGACCACTCCAGTCCCCAAGCCCAGGCAGTCATGTGCTCCTTTCTCCAGCAGCCTGCAGACAAGTCTTTCCACTTTCGACCTGGTCCTCCCCAGTCTTCCAGACCAGGGCAGCTGAAACTTTTCCCCACTCCCAATCCCTTTTCGCCTGGGAGATCTGCCACACAGGCAAGCGTGCCAGAAACACCTGCCGTTCCTTACAGCTAATTCTAGACTAATGTTTGGCCATCGCGCATTCAGAAACCTTTTCCAGTTGCCAAGTTTCTTCACCCCCCCGCCCCCCAATATAGGGTGGTGACCCCTAGTTTAAGAAGCTCTTGTTCTAAACCACCCAACCTTAGCCAGTAACCTTTGGGGCTTTCTTCTGACCATATGCTTCCCCAGTTCTTCTGGAGAGAGACTCTCACCACCCTTCCTTTAAGAGGCTGCCCCGTCTCTATCATGGGTTCCCAATTTTAAGACACTACTGTTCCTGGTCCCATGACCTGGGCTGGGCCGATATCCACCTGGCAAGATGAAAACTGGACCAAATGGCCCTTTCCCATGGATTCTGTGAGCATGGCTCTCCTCCATCATTGCAGCAAAGTCTGTCCCTCCAGGAGTCAGCCGAATGAACAGGGAAGCACCGGGTCCCTTCCTTCACACATGCCCAGACCCCCAGTATCAAGCAGGACTCACCTGGAATGCCAGCCTTGGCAATGGCAGCTGCTGCATGGTCCTGGGTGGAAAAGATGTTGCAGCTGGACCACTGCACCTGCAAGAGCCGGTAAGACAGGGCTGCTGGTCACTGAGGGCCCAGAAGCACCAGGGCCCCTGGGCAGGGAGAGAGGAAAAGCCCTGGGTTGGAGAGTGAGATAGTTGGGATTTAGGCCCAGTGACTATAAGCCGGTGACCCTGGGTGAATGGGCAGATGGGAACCAGAGCACGGTAAGATCCGTGTGATGTCGTAAAACATCGCTCTGGTGCTGCAAGGGGCATGAACTATAGCAAGAAACGGGCAGAAGCAAGGAGCTCAGAGGAGTCCAGGCGAGAAATGTGGCAGGAAGAGGGGAGGTGATGAGAAGCTGTCAAACATGGGTTTATTCTGAACATGGAACCGACAAGACTCGCTGAGGGATGAGCTGTAGGTGATCGAGACAGAACCCAAGGTTCTTGAACCAACAGAACCTACAATACTAGCGTTTCCATTTACTGATGTGGGGAAGGCTCAGGTTAGGGGAGAGGGGTGCACGAAACCCTCTTGGTTTTAAGTTGGAGGCCTGCAAGTGGAGCTGATAGATTGGTAACATCCTGGGGAGAAATCCAGGATAGTAGTAGATATATTTGGGAGCCATTACCAGGGGGCCAGTGTGTAAGCCATTAACCTAGACCACCAAGAAAGTGAATGTTGACAGTAAAGAAGTGGTCTCAGAATTGAACCTTAAGAGTACTGTTAGTATTGGCTGCCCTGAATCCCATCTTCCTTTTGGGGAACCACCTGGCTGCTCCTCAACTCCCCAAAAGCTTGGAAGAGCTTCTAATCATTGGTACACATGTCCCAAGCTGAACCAGTCAGAGCACCTCATCCTTCTGGCAGGAAGACTGCTCCAAGACAGGCACCTGACCCAACAAGAGTACACGAGAAGCACTCCTAAGATGGCTAACTGGGATTGTGGAGTAGAGTTTTTTGGGGGGGCGCTCCTCAGTGAAGAGGATGTGAGTTGGGGGCAACCAGGCCGGGCATCTTCCCACCAGAAAGTGTAGCCCCACCGGTATCTCCCTGATCATTTGATCTCCCTTCTGACCCACTTTAAAGTTGTTTCCGTTTTTCCTATTTCCTGCTTTCTTTGTGATGGAAGTTTTCCTGGTTCACCTAGTCATATTGCTGTTGAGTGTGTTTGTCTGCTTCCTGCCGGTGTTTTGTATGATTCTGTGTCTGTGACAACCCAGCAGAGTAACTGGATGGGTAATTGCCTAGGGGCATGGCAGGGGGAACGGGAGCGAACAACAATGAGCAGGAGTGGTGCGGACCAGACAAATCTTAATACAACTGAATGAAAACATATTTTTTTAAAGGGGGAGGTCAGCAGCAATGGGAGAGGGAAAGAAAACAAGTGACAGGTTCCGCTCCCTACATGGTCTTCTTCTACCCTGGCAGACCCCAGAGAGGGCAAGGCAGCTGTCTGGAGCCGCTCAGCTTGGGCCTCACCTCAGCTCCCAGGGCGACAAGGGTCTCAATAAGGACAGCTGTCTCCACGGTCATGTGCAGGCACCCCGCAATGCGGGCACCCTTCAGCGGCTTGGAGGTGGAGTACATCTCACGCATGCGCATCAGTCCAGGCATCTCGTTCTCTGCAATGTCCAGGGCCTTACGTCCCCAGGCGGCCAGGCTGATGTCAGCTAGAGGGGTGAAGATGGATGGGGGTCCGTGAGTCGCCTCAGCCCACTCACCATGAGGCGCTCGCGGACTCAATACACAAGAGCTTAGCGATGGGTCCCTGCAACCTCCGAGTCATGCGACAAGGACCGATCGGACAAGGACCGATCGAGGGAGCCAGGGCACTAGGGCGTCAGCATCAGAAAAAGAAAGGCATCATCTCTGCCCAACTGCTGCTTCCGGCCTAACGAGAAAACAAATAACCGCACCAGGGCATAAATGTTACAACCCAGCCAAGTACCCCTTTGACAAATAGCTGTCAGACTCTGTTCCTCCCACCACTACCTGGTCACCGCTCCCCTCATTTGTTAGAGGTTGTTAGCTCCTGACTCGCCATCTTCCTCTCCAGGTCATCCTACGTGGTCACTTCCACATCTCCTACAATAAGTTCCCTGACCTCGCTTAAGATAGGTGAAAAATCACCTCTTCCCCGCTCCCAAGGTTTCTTCCCACATGGAGGGAGCTCAGCTGTGTACTCTTTTAGCTTCTCTCTGCACTGGGGTGGAGGGCGTGGAGGGCGTGGAGTGGCCTGACCTTGGAGGACTCACACTAGGCATGCTGAGTTCAGCTCTTCCCTCCTGCGCGGCCCAGCAGACGTGCCTGCAAGAGGCTCATCCACACAGCGAGAGGCCCAGCTCAGACCGCCTCTAACTCAATTCCGAGGGTCTGTTTTCAGGCTCATTTGGGCTTTTACGCAAATTTGTGTCCTCTGGCGTAAATGTTATTAGTAACAAAGGTTATGTTTTAGCTTCTACCTCCCACTCCAATTGTCTCACATTTGCCCAATTCTCAGACAGGACTATCTCCTTACTTTTTCCTCCAAAGAGCTCACACTGGTCCCTCCCCCACCTCAGTGGTCCATTCCAAAAAGCATACCCTGGGTCAGCCTTTCCCTAATGATAACTTCTTTCTTGATAGGTGGGTGCCCTAGTGGCATAGTGGATAAAGCATTGAGTTGCTTACTGCAAGGTTCCAAGTTCAAAACCACCAACTGCTCCATGGGTGAAAGAAGGGCTTTCTACTCCTGTAAAGAGTTTTAGTCTCAGAAATTCACAGGGGAGTTTCTACCTTTTTCTACCAAGTTCTACCTTATCCTACGGGGTCACTATGAGTCAGCAATGACTCGATGGCAGTGAATTTGGTTTCTATTTTTTTGTATTTCATTAAGAATCTGTGGGTAGGCCACTGGACATCCCCTTACAGAAGGGTCTCAGGAGGAGACTCTCCCCCCTCCCCCACTATTATGATCCCAATTCTACCTTACAAATCTGGCTAGACCACAGGATGTACACTGGTACAGATAGGAACTGGAAACACAGGGAATCCAGGGCAAATGATCTCTTCAGGACCAGTGGTGTGAGTGGCGATACTGGGAGCGTTGAGGGAGAGTGGGTTGGAAAGGGGGGACAGATTATAAGGATCTACATGTGACCTCCTCCCTGGGGGACGGACAACAGAAAAGTGGGTGAGGAGAGACATCGGACAGGGCAAGATATGACAAAATAATAATTTATAAATTATCAAGAGCTCATGAGGGAGGGGGAAAATGAGGAGCTGATGCCAGGGGCTTAGGTGAAGAGCAAATGTTCTGAAAGTGATGAGGGCAATGAATGTACAAATGTGCTTTACACAACTGATGTATGTATGGATTGTGAAAAAAGTTATATGAGCTCCTAATAAAATGATATAAAAAAAATCTGCGGGCATGCTTATAAATTTCCCCTGGTTAACTGGAGTCAATGGGCTCGGGATTCAAGGGGCAGGGAATGCCTGGTGACTTTTATCTTTATAAAGCTTAGAATCGGCCAGTCACCAAAGGGGTAAGTGTATTCTCTGTAGAGAAACCTAGCTAGGGTGGAAAATATGCTTCCAGCTATGCATCTAAACAATGCTCAAGATGAAATAATCCTCCTCCATGGGAAGGTCCACTCCCACTGCTCCCCGCCCCACTGCCCTCGATAGGCCATACACTGATGTCTATCTCTTGGAAATCTTGATTACAATCTTCTGACCTTGTCCCTCTAGATCAGTGGTTCCCAACCTTCCTAATGCCTCAACCCTTTAATACAGTTTCTCATGCTGTGGTGACCCCCAACCATAAAATGATTTTCGTTGCTACTTCATCACTGTAATTTTGCTACTGTTATGAATCGGGCGACCCCATGAAAGTTATTCAACCCCCAAAGGGTTCGCGACCCACAGGTTGAGAACCGCTGCTCTAGATCATAGTTTGCTTGGCTTACAGAGCCCCTCTGGCAACTGAAAACTTTTGTACTATGTCACCCAGCCCATAATCCAGGATAAAGCATGGGTATCCGTTTTGCAGCCCCTCTGGAGGGTTGCAGCGCCCCCCAGGGGGTGCTATCACCCACTTGAGGAAACACTTGTGTAGAGCCCTAACTCTTCCATGGGAGCAGCCTGTCAGCGACTGAATCCATTCAATATCGCAACATCCTGGTCTTCTGGGCCCCTCCCAATATTGTCACCTTCTGCCTTCCACTGCCCACCACCCTCCACTGGCCATCAAGCCCTCGAAAAGCTTGCCTGCTGTCCCTCAAAGAACGTGCTTGGAAAAACTCCCACTCTACTGAAAGCCAATGCTTTACACTAAGCCGGTGAGCCCAGCAGGAGGAAAATCACAGCCGCACCAACAGGTGTCACTGGAAACCTAACCTCAAGGCGACACCCAGCACACTCCAGCAACCCGAATTACATGTCCCAATAAATGCTTCATTGGATGGCCTAGCCCTGAGGATTCTGGGAATTCCTGGATTTCCTCCTTGGAGGTGGGAGAGACTCTCTCAACTCACTCCCGGAGAGACACTCTACTGACAAGACACATGACACAACGCTGATATAGCTGGTGACCTCTGGAGCCGGAGAAGCCACACGGAGACCCCTGCCAGTGCTGAGAGGCTTCTACCACCACTGGATCCATAAGACTTTGCACCCACTGGCCTGTGATCTTCCTGCATTTGGTGTCATTGCATGTGTCTCGTGAGCCTGAAGAGGAATTTATAGATTGAAATTGGACATATTGGCTAATATTGGACTTATAGACTTGATCTGGACTGCTGAATGTTTTCTCATTAGTCAACTGCTCTTGTATATAAAGCTCTTTCTTATACACATATGCGTGTTTATGAATTTGTTTCTCTAGTCTACCCAGACTAACACAGGTCACTCACAACTGACCTCACTTCCCAGCTCACTGAGAATTCAGAACCATGCCACTTTCCCTCTGTGGAATCCACTAATCCTCATTACTGTGTAGCTGCAGAATGGACATTCTTTCCTATTACAATAGAAGAGCTGGTCTGATCCTCTCACCTTGAGATTGAAATTGCTCTTCAAGATCTCCAAAGCCCAGCCTGATGGCCAAATCGTGACAGCCCAGTTATCTATGTTCACACCTCACTGGAAAGCCTTCCTTATCTTCTATGACAAGGAAGGATTAAGTGGATTCCAAGGAGGGAACTTCATGTGGTCTTCAAACTACATCCCTGATTAATCATGGATGCGCTCCTCTGATCTCCAGCCTTTACAAACCTTCGGTACCAGTGGTTCTCAACCTTCCTAATGCCGCAACCCTTTAATAACAGTTCCTCATGTTGTCGTAACCCCCAATCATAAAATTATTTTTGTTGCTACTTCATAACTGTTATGAATCATAATGTAAATATCTGATATGCAGGATGTATTTTTTTTAATCATTTTATTGGGGGCTCGTACAACTCTTACCACAATCCATACATACATCAGGTCCAGCACATTTGTACATTTGTTGCCATCATCATTCTCAAAACATTTACTTTCTACTTGAGCCCTTGATATCAGCTCATTTTTTCCCTCTCCCTCCCCACCCCCCCTCATGAACCCTTGATAATTTATAAATTATTATTTTGTCATCTGACACTGTCTCACGTCTCCCTTCACCCACTTTTCTACTGTCCGTCTCCCAGGGAGGAGATTTTATATAGATTGTTGTAATCGGTTCCCCCTTTCCACCCCACCCTTCCTCCACCCTCCTGGTATCGCCACTCTCAGCACTGGTCCTGAAGGGGTCATCTGTCCTGGATTCCCTGTTTCCAGTTCCTATCTATACCAGTGTACATCCTCTGGTCTAGCCATATTTGTAAGGTACTAGAGGAAAGTTGTATATTTCATCATTGCTACACTGCACCCTGACTGGCTTGTCTCCTACCAGAGACCCTTCTGTAAGGGGATGTCCAGGTGTCTACAGAAGGGTCTTGGGTCCCCAATCTGCACTCCCCCTCATTCACAATGATTTGATTTTTTGTTCTTTGATGCCTGGTAACTGATCCTTTGGGCACCTTGTGGTCACACAGGCTGGTGTGCTTCTTCCATGTGGACTTTGTTGCTTCTGAGCTAGATATGCGCTTGTTTACCTTCAAGCCTTTAAGACCCCAGACGCTGTATCTTTTGATAGCCGAGCACCATCAGCTTTCTTCACCACATTTGCTTATGCACCCACTTTGTCTTCAGATCATGTCGTGAAGGTGAGCATCATGGATTGCCAGTTTAATAGAACAAAGTGTTCTTGCATTGAGGGAATACTTTGCTATGCAGGATGTATTTTCATTGTTACAAATTGAACATAATTAAAGCATAGTAATTAATTACAAAATAATATGTAATTATATATTGCTAAATATTTATGTGTTTTCCAATGGTGTTAGGTGACCCCTATGAAAGGGTCATTCAAGCCCCAAAGGGGTCAAGACCCACAGGTTGAGAACCACTGCTCTATACAGTGATGCCTGCCCCTACCCCTGTATTTCTCCTGAGGCCCAATCTTACCCATCCCCACCCCAGCTTAAAACTGTCCATGCAGCATCTCTACTTGGCATTTATAATGGCTTGTCATCTTTGATTCATGGTCCTCTGATGTGCCCTCGAGCAGTTACTCTCCCAAACCTTCCGTTTTTAAGCACAGAACCCATGGTCCTAACAATCACTCTGGTCACAAACTTAAGATTTCTTGACTCCTCTTTTCCCCTCACCCCTCGCCAACCCATCAGCTTATTGTTACCTCAACATCCTAAATAAGATGAGAAAGCATCAGAAAGTTAGTGGGGAAAAGGAAGAAAAGGATCATGGGGATATTTTTTTCTCCCACAGCTTTTTGTTTGGTTTGGTTCTTTTAAGCTTCTAACTGTGGATTGGGCAGATTATCAGTTTTACATCCAAAGAACTCATATCCGTAAGTGGATTACTATAGATACAGTCAGGTTTTGACCCATGTTAAATTTGTTATAGTTTTTTGATGTTCTGCTTTCTGTTCTACTGAGGTTTTCCTGTTGTTTTGATGTTGGGTTTTTAAAAAAATCCTTTTCTGTATATGAAATCTAGGAATAGGGGAATTTATAGACAGGAACTGGATTAATGATTTCTTGGGGGTATAGCAAGGGTGGTTGGGGGAAAGTGGGGAGCTAATAACAATGAGTACAAGAAAGAAGAAAAGGTTCTAAAACGTGATGATTGCACAACTCTTTTTAATATGATTAAACGATTGAATTGTAGGTTATGTGGATTATATGCCCATAAAACTGTTTAAAAAAAAAGACTTCACAAAAAAAAAAAAAAAAGACTTCACATCCACAGTCTCTGTGAAGCCCCCTGGCATTATGCAATCCAACCATGGATCCCACCTTTATCCAAACCACCACTTTCAATTGAACAGAAGCAGTCTCCTTCCCATCTCCATTTACTGTCCCCCCACAGCAACCAGGCCAGCTTTTAAAATGTTAAGCTATATTACTATTACTCCTAATGTGTTTGCTTAAAAATGAGAGAGGCTTCTCGTGCCAATGAATCAAATCCTAACTGTTCACCTGGTCTCCTCTCCCCACCTTCACCTTTTCGCTCACTGCTTCACCACAGAACCTTTTTACTCCAACAAGCTGAGGGTGGGAAGCTTACTCTCAACTTCGAGGATTTTACTCCAGCAGTTTTTCCTTGGCCTGAATGGATCCCACACCCCACCCCACCCCCGCTACATGGCACATAACAGGTGCTCAGCGAAAACATGGGCGTAAGAAAGAATCCAGTAACTTCCTAAGGAGGAACCACAGGTGTGCCAGGGTGACAGAGTAAACCAAGCCAAACTCGCTGCCATCAAGCCGATTCCAACTCACAACGACCCTCTAGCACAGGGTAGAAATGCTCCTGTGGATTTAACTCTCCCAGAGTGGAAAACCTAGTCTTTCTCCTGCAGAGCAGCTGGTGGTTTCAAACTGCTGACCTTGCCGTTAGCAACCCAATGGGTAACCACTATGGGCCACAGGGGCTCCTGGCTGACAGAGGGAAAGGATCAAAACCATGAGTCGGGATTTGATTCCCAGGGAGGTGAGAAGCCCTGTGAGTTTTCTGGGAAGGATCATGACAGGGTATCTTCAGAAGAGACTCACTGGCTGCTGCCAGGAACTCTAGAGCAAGAAACCTGTGAGGGGAAAAAAAACTGGGATGGTAGCCATGGAGACACGAATCCCACGTTTTCTATGTGTGTCTTTCCACATGGCCCTCGGGTCACATTTGTATCTCCAGTCTCCAATAGGGAGCGTCTGGCAGAGAAGGGTCAGCAAATGTTTGCTAACCATAGCTGTTGCAAGAACCAAATGACAGGAGGCACACAAAAGGGGCTGACGTGAGCACAAACACAAGGGCAAACCCAGTGCCATCGAATCACTGCCTGCAGATCTTTGCAGAAGCAGTCAGCCTTATCTGATGGGTCTTACTATTAACAACTCAAAGTACCATCAGGTTTCTTACCTTGGGCCTGTGGGGAGGGGAGGGAAAATGAAACAAGTCTGTGCTCACTCTTACTCCCTAGCCTTAATAAGGACAAGGCCTAGAGGTGTGTGCCCCAGGTCTCAGCCCGTTAGGGACTAGGGACCAGGTGGGGCTTGAGCCAGAGGTCTTCTACGGGAAGATGCATTGTGTCCTGTCCTGCGTCCTCTTCCCCACCAGCACCACCAGTCCCTGAAGCTTCATTACCTTCATCGCCCTGAACTCAGAATTTCTTTCTACAGAGCCCCCCAACTCTAGGGATGCTGTGAATGCTCTCGAGCAGCGGTTCTCAACCTGTGGGTCTCAACCCTCTTTGGAGGTTGAACAACCCTTTCACAGGGGTCCCCCAATTGATAACAGTAGCAAAATTACAGTTATGAAGTAGCAATGAAAATAATTTTACGGTTGGGGAGTCACCACAACATGAGGAACTGTACTAAAGGCTCGAGGCATTAGGAAGGTTGAGAACCACTGCTCTAGAGCTCATGGTTTCCAGGGGAGCTGAAGACAAGGCAACAGGAACAGCTAAACCCGTAAAGGGGAGATCATCGTCCCTACCAGCTATGCTGATGGTTAAAGATGCCATTTGGACAATGCCTAGTATAGTATTCCCTCTTTGATGGGGTGTCCTTCCTCCACCTCTACCCAGCCAGTCAAGCTTTCCCACTTCCAAAACGCACAGGGAATTCCCACCAACAACCCAATGTTCCCAACTCTCACCCACTGATTTCCCACAGTATTACCAAACTCCTTGCCCCGTCCAGCTGGGCCACCCACGTGACATTGACTTCACCTTTCTGGGCTGCAATTTCAACACAGAACTACTATTTTGACAAGATTTATAGATCACCTTAACCAGTCACTTCCTCCAACGGCCTGTTGCCTCATCGGTAAAACGGGATGGCTCCCGCCTCTAACAGTTACATGTGTGCAGATCACCAGCTACAAAGCAAGCCTCCCATAAGTCTCAAGTATCAAGTTGTTTAAAAACTGCTAACCAAAGGAGCGCTGGTGGCATAGTGGTTCCGTGTTGGGCTGCTAACTGTGTACGTTCAGTAGTTCAAAACCACCAGCCATTCCCAGGGAGAAAGACAAAGCTTTCTACTCCCATAAGAGGTTACACTCCCAAAAACTGTTAACCAGCATAGGGCAGAAAGACTAGGCTGTCTACTCCCCCAAAGGTTTACACTCTTGGAAGCCCAAAGGCGCAGCAGTTCTACCCTATCCTATAAGGTTCCTATGAGTCAGAATGGCAATATGTTTGGTTGGGGTTTGGGGCCAGCCCAGACCGATAGTTTGTTTGTTTTACCCCTTAAATGTATTAGAGTATCCCAAGTGTACACACACTTCCAGACAGTGGTGAAAGGGGTGGGCTCTGAGAGGTCTAAAGCGCCTGAATTAAAACCCTGCTCCACTACTCCCAATTGCAAGCGCGTGGGCACGTGAACGTGATTCCGTTGGATTTCCGTATATGTCTGCAAAATTTAACATGTAAAAGTCCCTACCCCAAAGCGCCGTGAGAATACACTGATTTAATCTCGAATAATGCTGTAAGTGCTAATCCCACAGCAAATGCCCAACAAAGACCAACCCCCAGGGTATCAGAGAGCGGGGTTTTTCTAACCATTGTTTCTTTGTCTTTTCCTTTCGAAAGAGTATGCACAACTGTCCTTGTTGGCCAGGCGGGCAACTAGCCCAACATGCCCGGTGGGTGGCCCAGCGCGGCTCACTCTCCAGGCCTCCCCTCACGTGCTTCAGCGTTTAGACTTTCGCCCAAAAGATGAGCAGCTGTCCCAGCTGGCCAGGGTCGGGCCAGGCCCAAGAGGCAGGAATTGAACCCTATAACGTACATCCTGCAAACCCCATATGTTCAAGACCAAAATCAGGCGTACGCTCAGCGCCAGCTCGGGTTGGCTCCGGGCGGAACACGCCGCCTGTGCGCGGGTCCAGAGTCCGCGCGGCTGCACCGAGCCTCGCAGGGGTCGCCGGGAGTTGTAGTCCGCGGCCTGCGCTGGAGCGCGGCACACCGCGGCGGGAGGACTCCAAGCCCCAGGTGGCCTCGCGTGAGCAGGATAGCGTCTAGCCTGCGGAACATGGGGGTCCTAGGCGCCCCAGGCCAGTGCCGCCCGCTACAGGCCGCGGGCGAACGGAGGGCGGACGCAGCCATTGAATGTCCTAGAACTCACCGACTTTGTAGGGCAGTTTCTCCGTCATGTTGGCGGCGTTTCGGCACGGAAGGGCAAGGGCAGAGGGGGCCGGACTCAAGCTGAGAGGAGCACTGGGCAGGCGGCGCCGGGCAGGGACCTGCGCGTGGTGGCGGCGCCTTTAAATATCTTCTGACTTGCATATTCATGAGTCCGTTCGGGCGCAACCGCCCGGGGCGGGGCCCAAAGGCAGGGGGCGGAGCCGGAACGGACTTCGTTCTTTGCTCAGAGCCCAGATGTGATTGCACGCGGCCCGTTGCCCAGCGTTCGGAATTCTGGAAGGCTGTTAGGAGAGACTGGAAAACTAGCCTAGGTCATGTTTTCATTCCATCAGCCACTGAAACCGAATTGAACTGGAATTTCAGCCAATTCACTTCCTAGAACCTCAATTTTCTTGTCTATAAAATGTAAAATACCTACTACTTGGACTATAAGGAAAGCTGACTTTCTCTCCCATCCCGCCCCCACCACCCAACCACTTTCTTGAGTTTATGTTAGTGTATTTATACTTTTACTGCTGATGTACTCCCACTCTGTGTGTGGCCTCCATCCCCACATCTCTAAAACTACTCCGATCAAAGGCGTCTATTTCCCTGATATACACACTTTTTTTTTAACCTTTTTGAATGACTAGGGTGAAGAATTGCAAAGCAGATCATCAATTTTTTAAAATCATTATATTGGGGGCTCGTACAGCTTTTATAACAATCCATACATACATCCATTGTGGCAAGCACATTTGTTCATTTGTTGCCCTCATCATTCTCAAAACAGTTGCTTTCTATTTAAGCCCTTGATATCAGTTCCTCATTTTTCCCCTTCCCGCTCCCCCCTCCCTCATGAACCCTTGATAATTTATAAATTGTTATTATTTTGTCATATCTTACACTGTCTGATGTCTCCCTTCACCCACTTTTCTGTTGTCCATCCCCCAGGGAGGAGGTTATATGTAGACTCTTGTAATCGGTTCCCCCTTTCCACCCTACCCTCCCTCCACCCTCCCCGTATTGCCACACTCACTACTGGTGCTGAAGGGATCATCTGTCCTGGATTCCCTGTGTTTCCAGTTCCTATCTGTACCAGTGTACATCCTCTGGTCTAGACAGATTTGTAAAGTAGAATTGGGATCATGATAGTGGGGGCGGGGAGGAAGCATTTAGGAACTAGAGGAAAGTTGTATGTTTTATCATTGCTACACTGCACCCTGACTGGCTCATCTCCTCCCAGCGACCCTTCTGCAAGGGGGTGTTCAGTTGCCTACAGTTGGGTCTTGAGTCCCCAATCTGCACTCCCCCTCATTCACAATGATTTGATTTTTTTTGTTCTTTGATGTCTGATACCTAATCACATCAACACCTCGTGATCACACAGGCTGGTGTGCTTCTACCATGTGGGCTTTGTTGCTTCTGAGCTAGATGGCCACTTGTTTACCTTCAAGCCTTTAAGACCCCAGACACTATATCTTTGGATAGCCGGGTACCATCAGCTTTCTTGATCACATTTGCTTATGCACCCACTTTGTCTTCAGCGATCATGTCGGGAAGGTTAGCATCATGGAATGCCAGTTTAATAGAACAAAGTGTTCTTGCATTGAGGGCGCACTTGATTGACTTGATTATATAGACCTGTCTGTTATTAGCAGCTTCCTCCTCCTCCTCCCACCTTCAAAGGCTGATGTTCTCTGCTCTCCCAGAGCCATCTCATCTACCATTATCCACAGAATAAAAACTGCCTTACCCAAGAAACTACCTATTTCCTCTTCTCAACCATTATCCTGCTTCCTCCTCACTTTCAGAGTTACCATGACAGTGAATTTTACCTGAATTCCTTTGCTCATTCGTTTTTTAAAACTAGGTTTTACTATCTATGTAATAGAGTCCCCTGGTTGATGCAAAAATGCAGTTGACCCTATGTCTGAAACATCAAACTCAGTGCTGACTCAGAGAGGCCCTATAAGGATAGAGTAGAACTGCTCTTGTGGGTTTCAAAGGCTATACATCTTTATGGTAGTAGAATGCCTCATTTTTCTCCTGAGGAGTGGCCAATGGGTTCAAACTGCTAACCACAATACATAACCTACTATGCCACCAGGGCACCTCTGAAGCATTATGTCTATTGAAAACCCTCAGGAGCACTCGGGGTCCCCATGAGTTGGTTTCAAAGAACAGTTGGGGCTGACTCACAGCAACTGGTTCATTGTATTACTTCTGTGAGTATCACAAAATAAGTAGAAAAAATGTTTTCTCTTTTTGCCAAGCTGGTGGGCATGAAATGGCATCTCATTGTGGTTTTAATTTACATTTCTTTTATTTCTCAAGAGCCTGATTATTCATATCTTACAACCCATCTGTGTGTGTGTCTCTTTCTCTCATGTCTTTGCCTGTTTAAAAACCGGTAATTAAAAAAAAGATGGGTAATTTGTTTTGTTTCTTTTCAATTAATAGGAATTCTTTACATAGTCTGTATATGAGTCCTTTGCTAATTCTATGTGGTACAAATGCCTTCTCTTAATGTGCGGCTTATCCTTTCAGCCTCTTTATGGTATTCTTTGGCAAACAGAAGTTCTTAGTTTTAATGTAGCCAAATGTATCTTTTTCTTTCGATGTAGTGATTTTTGTCTTGTTTTAGGAAGGCTTTCCTGGTGGTATAGTAGTAACTTGTTGGGCTGTTAACCTCAAGGACAACAGTTTGGAACCACCAGCTGCTCTGCCCGAGATAAATGAGACTTTATACTCCCCTGAAGAGCTACAGTCTCTGAGACCCACAAGGACAGTCCTGCCCTGTCCCAGGGGTCACTATGGGTCCG